AATAATGCTCGGTAAAGTAGATGACAATAAGAAAAGAGGAAGACCACATTATGGACCCTTGATCTGCAAAACCTGAGCAGGGCTGTTGAGGATCGGGTGACTTGGTGGTCTCTCATTCACAGAGTCCTCAACATCAAGCTGAAGCTGACTTGATGGCAGTTAACAACAACAAATACTAGTAGTAGCTTCTAAGTCAGTGGGATTGTGAGCTCACTGTGATTAGTCTGAACTTTTAAGAAGTTATGCAAGATGCTGAATCCTATCTTCAAAGTAGGCTCACTGCTTTAAAGATCAGACCAAAACCCAGAGCGTATTCACCATCCCCACTGACATGGAAGCCTCCAGCCATCACTGCTGCATATTTAATTTTCTTTATCAGATGTGAAAGACGATCCAATGGCATATGCTGTTTTTCTGCAGGAAGTGATCCTTAACTGAAAGAGGAGAATATGTAATTCTGAGTATCAGTGGTGGAGCAAAGAGGGAGAAAGGGGGGAAGCTTTAGATGCATGTCCTAATTAAAAGTGGAAAGAAGTTGGGCTTTTTAATGGGATATTTGCTTCCTGGAGAGTTTTCACAGCTTGGCATTGAAGCAAGCAAGGTTTTGAAGTTGTTTCTTTCTGTGTATATTTCTGCGTGTTTTGAGATGCTTGATAATTTTGGAGGCTGGTTTAAAAACAGTCTCTCACTGCCCTATATCCCAGGATCTGATCCCAGTTTATCTGTTTATCCCAGATTATCTGGCAGTGGAGCCCCCAGTAGCACAATGGGTTAAACCCTTTTGCTGGCAGAACTGCTGACCAAAAGGTCAGCAGTTTGAATCCTGAGAGCGGGGCGAGCTCCCGTCTGTCAGCTCTAGTTGATTTCTAGATTCTCCTGCATGATTCTATGGAATTTTTGGCCAGAAATCCTCCATTTCTATATGGGCAGTAAAAAGGATTACAGATATGTAAGGCGTCACTGTGCATCATCAACAGTTAATGTAACTATTAAATATGTACACAATCATTTAATTAAAACATAAACATGAGAATAAAAATATAGTATACCACATCTAAAAGACTTTCTGCCATGGCCAGTTAATAGTCAAAAGCCTGGGTGAATAAAATATAGAAATACAGCAGAGTGGAGGCCAACATAGCCTTGCATGCGCTCAAACTGATTTAGTTTGGCAGGGATAGTCCCAGTTAATCCTCTATCATCTCACTTTTAAAGCTGCTTTTAGTATCCTAATTTCACTTTCCTTCTCCACTTGCTTTCCGTTTGCTTCATTTGCTGTAAATTGAGTTCAGTGCAAAAGTATTTTATAATCCCTTAACACATCTAGGGTAATGGGGAGAGAAGAGTAGCTGCAAAATCTTGCATTTCCTGGTAGACAGAGGCAAAAGCAAACTGTTGCATTCTTTCCCCTAACAAGTGTGTTTCTCTCATTAATAAATTTGCCATGTTCACGGCACTCTGAAGTTGCGTGTTCACATTGTGTCCCATTTTTCAACGGTGACATGTTGGAGGATATGGCTTCCCATGGCAGGGAATTCCATAGATTGGGAGCAGCCATTTAGAAGGCATTCGCTTCCTCAATGCTGCATGCACACAGTTTGTTTTGCCATTACCTCTGGATCAAAGAGCTTTTTGAGGGTTTGGAAGGATTACCAAGGGTTGTGTGACTTCTTGTTTGGTGGATTTGCCCTGGATTTTATTCTTGACTTCCAGAAAGCACCCAAAATATAGTACTATATCCCTCAAATAATTCAGCACCTTGGATATGGTTCCTTTAAAGTCTAAATATCCCGGACACACCAGATCCCATCTCACTTTGGAAACTAAACAGGGCCAGCTCTCATTAGATCTTGGATGGGAGATTGTGCCAATTAATACTAGGTGCTATAGACTATACAGTATTGAAGATGAATGATGAAAGAACTGGAAAATCACCCTTGAGTTTTCCTTGCCTAAGAAAATCCTATCAAATTCATGGAGTCACCATAAGTCCACAGGCAAACTAAAGCCTGTAATGCAGTGGTTCTCAACCTTCCTAATGCCACAACCCCTTAATACAGTTCCTCATGTTGTGGTGATCCCCAACCATAAAATTATTTTCGTTGCTACTTCATAATTGTAATTTTGCTACTGTTATGAATCGTCATGTAAATATCTGATATGCAGAATGTATTTTCATTCAGTGGATCAAATTTGGCACAAATACCTGATACACCCAAATTTGAATATTGGTGGGTTTGGGGGGCGGGGTTGATTTTGTCATTTGGGAGCTGTAGTTGCAGGGATTTATAGTTCACCATCAATCAAAGAGCATTCTGAACTCCACCAATGATGGAATTGAACCAAACTGGGCACACAGAACTCCCATGACCAACAGAAAATACTGGGTTTCTTGGGCATGGTCCTTGAGTTTTGGAGTTGTAGTTCACCTACAATCAGAGAGCACTGTGGACTCAAGCAATGATGGATCTGGACCAAGCTTGGCACGAATACTCAATATGCCCAAATATGAAGACTAGTGGAGTTTGGAGAAAATAGACCTTGACATTTGGGAGTTGTAGTTTCTGGAATTTATAGTTCACTTACTCGTACAATCAAAGAGCATTTTGAACCCCATTAATGATAGAACTGAGCCAAATTTTCCACACAGAACCCCCATGACCAACAGAAAATACTGTATTTTCTGATGGTCTTTGGTGACCCTCTGATACCCTTTCGCGATCTCCCCAGCGGTCCAGACACCCAGGATGAGAATGCTGCTGTAATGAATCCTTGAGAGTACTCACTGTACGACTGAAATGGAATTCTCCAGCCTGTCCTGAAACATCTTGATAAACTGTTTACTAAAAGTTGGATTAAGAGGATGGTATATGCTGTGGCTAGCAGTCTCTTGTTCATATCCCCTTTGACAGGTTTAAAAAGGATATCTCTAGCTTTCTCTCTCTCTGCTTCATCCATACAAGAAGTGCACATTGTGGGTGGCTGTCCTGCCCACTCTTTCTGATTCATTACCAAAGGCAAGAAAGAAACAATAGCCATGAGAAAATAGCTGCCAATCAGGTCATGCTTCAATGCTCCAAGGTTCAGTTTTCAAGTCTGGAGTTCATGATGAGTCTTTGAAAATGAGTGGAGATATTAAAGCGAGTTCTCTATGAGTTAATATGAAGATGCATCTACATTAGATCTTGGTTTCTAAAAATAAGGATAATGGAGAGCTAATTAAATGGCAAGTCTGTGAGCAGTTATTGAGTGCACCACAAGCTCCACTGTTCACACCTGAGTGTCATTTTCATGCTGGGCCTTACAGAATACTGCAGCTTGTTGTGACAAATTAATCAGCCATGGAGAGTCTGGCAAGGAATTCAAGTGATGCTTAAGTGGGTGATAGTGTGATACATAGAGGAACCATCATGGAAGGGGGGACATTTTAGTGCATCTGATCTTCCCAGGCTTTTGGCAGTGGAATTAAAACAAGAGGTTTTGCAAACATGCATCCAACAAGGTTTCCAGAATCATAGAATGTGATGGGTAACATCAAGGTCATCTAGGCCAACCCTCACCAACCCTCATTTTCTGCTGCAGCCTCACTCTATCCTGACTATATAGGATTTGAGGCATCTTACAATGTAGATTACAAAACAGCTAAAATCAATCAATTTTAAAATAATGAATTATTATTATATTTATCTAAACTGCATTACAGTGATTAAGAAACATTTACATTTACAGATCTCTTCATAGCAACACTGTTCAACAGTAGAATACATTGCTTTGGGATGTGGTGGAGTCTCCTTTTGTGGAAGTTTTTAAACAGAGGGTGGATGGCTATCTGTCTGAATTGCTTTGATTGTGTATTCCTGGATATAATCACGGTCCTGGTGGTCTTTACCAACTCTATGACTGTATTTGGTGATATCAGACATGGTTGTGTCAAACTTGTGGCCCTCCAGATGTTTTGGACTTCAGCTCCCAGAATTCCTAGCCATTGGACAAGCTGACCAGGGTTTCTGGGAATTGGTATCTGAAACATTTGGAGGGCCACAAGTTTGATCCTATGGCAGTGGTTCTCAAACTGTGGGTCCCCAGATGTTTTGGCTTTCAACTCCCAGAAATCCTAACAGCTGGAAAACTGGGACATTGTAGGTTTTTTCGGGCTATATAGCCATGGTCTAGAGCAGTGGTTCTCAACCTGTGGGTCCCCAGATGTTTTGGCCTTCAACTCCCAGAAATCCTAACAGCTGGTGAACTGGCTGGGATTTCTGGGAGTTGTAGGCCAAAACACCTGGTGACTCACAGGTTGAGAAGCACTGGTCTAGAGGCATTTTCTTCTGACATTTGGGAAACTGACTGGGATTTCTGGGAGTTGTAGGCCAATTCACCTAGGGACCCACAGGTTGAGAACCACTGCCCTAGGGAGCAACAGCAACACTATTCAGGTAGTTGGACCAATTGTCATTTACTGTTGAGTGCCTTGAAGTAGAATCTGAGGTCTAGGGTTTTCTTGGTAAGATTTATTGAGAATGTGTTTGCCAGTGTCTTTGTGTTAGGCTGAAAAAAGTGTGGCTTGTCCAAGGTCACCCAGTAGGCTTCCATGACTAAATCGGTTTTTAATTCTGGTCTCCTGGAGCCCTTGCCCAGTACTTTAGCTCTCAACCCCACACGGGATGGAACTTTCTCTAGTCTCTTTCTATTGTTCGTTTTGTACTTTCAGATTGACTCAGACTTGTGGAGAACTTACTATAAGGTTATCTTGGGAAGATTATTCTCTCAGCCTTTCTTTTAGGCTGAGAGAGTATGACTTCCCCAACACAACCCAATGGGAGATCTAGCAAAACATTGAGACCACTATTGATCTGAACAAGGCTATTTCATCGTAGTTTTTCATTATTTATGTAGATCCTATTTGCATAGCTTGCTTTATCTCAGTTTCTCTTTTCTTTTTCTTTCTTTCTTTCTTTCTTGCCTTGACTCATTTGGCTTCTGCTCTCCTTATATTTCAGGATCCACGATTATCAGCTTTAATTTTTGACAAGCTTCAAGTGCCTGAATATTTACAGAAACCCAGGAGCGAAGGGGAGAGCAGGTGTGATGTGTGTGCCGCCCACCTGAACCAGCTGAAGCAAGAAGCCATCCAAGTCATCCACAAGTTTGGCCAAGCCAACTGCCAAGAAGTGGTGGATTCCACACAAAGTGCTGTGGCAATGGCAGCTGTATTGCCAAGGCTGACCTCCCAAAATGTGGTCACTGTGTCTTCTCAGAGGGACTTGTCTCTTGTGGCTGGGCAGGTGGGGAGGCAGCCCGGCAAAGCCGCAAGCCTTTTCTCTGGGTCAGAGAAGAAGAAGGGTCTTGGCTGGCCTCAAGGTACCAGCGGATTCCCCAACTCCAGTGTCCAAGTGACTGTGGCTCCCAGTGGCCTTAGTGGGGCCTTGAGTTCAGTAACCATCCAAGCTCAGCAGTACCTTGAAGGAATGTGGAGTATCTCCAGAGTGAACAGCTTTCTTCCTCAATCTTGTCTAGTAAGTAATGGAGCACTTGGTCTTAAATAATGCCAAGAGTTATATAGTTAGCCTCCACATTTGTGGGCTTGACCTTTGTGGTTTTGATTATTTATGTATTTGATTAAGATGAATCTTTAGGTCCTCCTGTGTGACATATGGTAAATTTCAATTAGAAGTGGAACAAGGAATCAAGCAGGAGGATCACAGATTTCTATAGAGGTGTTGTTTCAGGTTAAAAAAATGTTTGTAGCTCCCATCATTGACGGTGATAGCAAAGAATGATGGGAATTGCAATCCAGCAATATCTGGAAGGCTTGTTTCTCTCTAAAGCAGTGTTTCTCAACCTGGGGTTTGGGACCACCGGGGGGGGGGGGGTCACGGGTGGTGTCAAAAGGGTCACCAAAGACCATCAGAAAACCCAATATTTTCTGTTGATTATGGGGGGTCTGTGTGGGAAGTTTGGCCCATTTTATCATTGGTGAGGTTAAAGTGGCTCTTTGATTGTAGAGAACTATAAATCCCAGCAACTACAACTCCTAAATGTCAAGGTCGATTTTACCCAGTCTCCACCAGTGTTCACATTTGGGCATATTGAGCATTCGTGCCAAGTTTGGTCTAGATCCATCAGTGTTTATGTCCTCAGTGCTCTCTGAATGTATGTGAACTACAACTCCAGAACTCAAGGTCTGTGCCCACCAAATCCTTCCAGTAGTTTTTGTTAGTTATGTGAGTTCTGTGTGCCAGGTTTGCTTCAATTCTATTGTTGGTGGAGTTCAGAATGCTCTTTGATTGTAGGTGAACTATAAATCCCAGCATCTACAACTCCGAAATGATAAAATCAACCCCCCAACCCCACCAATATTCACATTTGGGCAAACTTTGGTCCAGTGAATGAAAATACATCCTGCATATCAGATATTTACATTACAATTCATAACAGTAGCAAAATCGCACTTATGAAGTAGCAACGAAAATAATTTTATGGTTGGGGGTCATCGCAACATGAGCAATTTTATTAAGGAGTTGGAGCATTTGGAAGGTTGAGAAACACTGCTCTATAGAGTCATGCCATTTCTTTGTCCCTATCTTAAATTTATATCACTGGCTGCAATTGGCATTAAACGAGTTTAGGTGAATGCTGTAACAGGGCAGAGGAGAGGTTAAGATAGCTTTTGTTGAATTTTACTGCATTTGAGTGGTCACAGACTATTCCCAGCTAAAACATTTCTCCCTGTAACAGTTCCACTTTATGTGATCAAGCTCTAAACTTGTCATAAATGTAGCCCCATAATCCTTTTTGACGCCTGTGTAAATAATTGCTGTCTACACCGGGTGCATTTTCTTTGTCCACTGAAGAGTGTAATTATGAATGCTACTTTTTCATAATAGCTTTTGATTCACCCCAAAGTTAACAAACTGGAATACAAATTGTACCGTGGTTTAGAGATAATCCTTGGATGAAGTATGACAGCTGTTTAAATCTAAATGGCTTCGCTAAACTCTCAGGAAAATATTGAATTAAAAGTGTAGAAATGTGGAAAAGAAAATGTAATTATGTGAGCTGGGCTTCAGTTGAGATTTTAATAGACGCTGATATGAATCTGTGAATCTACTGGAAATGTGCAAATAGGTGGCAACGACAAAAATATTATTTGGCATATTCTTAGGTAACTGTACTTATATGCACCATAAAAGGGAGGATAAGAATAATATGGCTATCACGAGGGCAGTAAAATCTTCATAGTAAATAGAGCATGGTTTGCAGATGGCTTTTTCATGCATTATGTGTCAAAACAAAAATAATGTTCTGTTTTATGGGATTGAAATGAAAACTGGTGGTGTGGTTTTCCTTGTAGACATGAGACAGGGCCAACGTAAAAGTTTCGGCTGCTGAGGCGAAGGACAAGATGGTGGTGTAGCACTGTTTATTCCATTCCATATACAAATTGTTATTGGACTTGGACCTGTCTCTTAAATATTGGCAGTGAGATGCCATCTTCTTCTTTCACACCTGAAAGCAGTAGGTCATCAGTGCTTGGAAAAATTGCAGTTTTACAATACAATCCCCAGACCCTCATTGTTGCCTGATGGCTGGGGGACTGTTGTGGTCCAAAATGTGATGGTTCAGCTTTGAATAGGACATATTGTGTGGGTAAAAAAAACCAGAAGATGACTGCTACTGCTACAATCCAGTACCTGCTTCCTGAGGTAGTTGGTTGATTCAGTCTTCATGGTGGATCAGTCCTGACACTTAATGCGGCACCAGTGTCCCTGGTTTGCCTCAAAAAGATCTCAGCCTTGCATAAATCTTGGAAGAGACCACAACAGCCATCCAATCCAGCCCCCTGCCATGCAAAAACACACCATCAAAGCACTCCTGACAGAGGCCATCCAGCCTTTGTTTTAAAAACCTTCAGGAAAGGAGACTCGCCTACACTCAAGTGCTCAGATTCCACTCCACAACCATTTAACTGCTTATATGCAATACAACCCCCTTACCCATAGTTTTTATATCCATAGTTTCATCTACTTATGCTAAAAAAATATTGTGACTTAGAAGTGTTTGTGGGCCTCTCTAGGGCACTGTTTCACCCCAACTATAGTCAAATATAGGGTTTGCTATGAGGTCATGAAGAGTTGAAAACGACTGAACAAATTATCCACAGTTTCGGATATTGACGTCGCGTCTTGGAATTATCCCACATGGATACGGGGGTCTTTTCTCTAAACTCCTCATAAGACTTGGCTTCCAGGTCTCTGACCACTTTTGTTGATCTTTTCTGGACACGTTCCACCTTGTCAATAGCCTTTTAAAATTGTAGTTCCCAAAACAGACTCAGTTTTCCAAGTGAGTTCTGATCAAAGCAGTAGAGTAAGACTATTACTTCCCTTGATCTAGACCAGTGGTTCTTAACCTGTGGACTGTGGACCACCGGTGGGTCATGAGGATAAAAATCTGGTCCACAAGCCGTCTTCCTCTATTTATTTATTTATTTCAATTCCTTTCACGATGCCTGCCACTCCTTCACTATAACTATGGCATATGTTCTGTATCAGAAACTAGAGCTGATGTGGTCTATCTAATGAAATTTTCTGAATCAGCACCCCAAACCGAATCTTAAATTGATCAAAAAGTGATTTGTAACCCTTTTGGTACTAATGTTGGAGAATGGTCCCTGGTCAAAGTGGTCCCTGGTCAAAAAAAGGTTGGGAACCACTGATATAGACACTATATTCGTATTGATGAAGCCTAGAATTGCATTGGCTTTTTAGGCTGCTGGGTCATTTCTGCTTTTTTTCTGCATTGCTCATGAGCAGCCAAAAGTAAGAAGGTGGTTGAATGAAATGGCTCACAAAGCCAGTCCAACCCTATTAGGTGTTTTTTTTCCTTGCTTCATGTAAACTGTGTAGTCTTCTCCCTGGTTGTAGTGTATCTAAATGGCATAACAACATTGTGTAAATGCAGGCCAGTATCAAAGATTGCATTGCTCTGTACTCCATTATGTTCTGATCCCATCCCACAGCTATTTAACTGCAGTGCAATTCCCTTATCTACAGATTTGATGCACATAGTTTTACTTATCCACACTCCAAAAACATCCCCCCAAGTGTTTGTGTGCCTTCCAGTGTTTGTGTGCCTTCCAGTGTAATTCTGCTGTATGCTTCCAGCCTAAGTAGAGTCAAAATACAGTGTTCACTATATCCATGGCTTCAGGTATCCACAGGCAGGCTTAAACTGTTTCCTCGCATATTTTTTTTTGTCGTGTCAGGAGTGACTTGAGAAACTGCAAGTCACTCCTGGTGTGAGAGAATTGACCATCTGCAAGGACGTTGCCCAGGGGACGCCTGGATGTTTTGATGTGTTACCATCCTTGTGGGTGGCTTCTCTCACATCCTCGCATGTGGAGCTAGAGCTGACAGAGGTAGCTCATCCACGTTCTCCTTGGATTCGAACCTCCGGACCTGTCAGTCTTCAGTCCTGCCGGCACAGGGGTTCAACCCATTGCACCTCTGGGGGCTCCTCACAGATATTGGGGTGATACTGTATTTGAGGCTTGATAGCAGTTCCCTTAGAATCATAGAATCGTAGAACCAAAGAGTTGGAAGAGACCTCATGGGCCATCCAGTCCAACCCCCTGCCAAGAAGCAGGAATATTGCTTTCAAATCATCCCTGACAGATGGCCATCCAGCCTCTGTTTAAAAGCTTCCAAAGAAGGAGCCTCCACCACACTCCGGGGCAGAGAGTTCCACTGCTGAATGACTCTCACAGTCAGGAAGTTCTTCCTCATGTTCAGATGGAAGAGTATTAGAGTATTGGAAGAAGTGTATTGAAACCCATGAAAACTCATGCTAAAACCAACCAGCTAATTTTAAAAGTGCTGCTGCTAGATTTCTTTTTCAGCACTCTTTTTTTTCTTTTGATGTGTAGTAGACAAATATGGTTATTTTAGAAGAGTCAGTCTGAGTGGATGCCACACAACTGGATGGATTGTGTATCCATGTGGGATTTCCCAGGTAAACACAATGAGGTTATATATCTGTGTTGTAGCTTGAGGGTAATGGAATGGAGTTAATGGCGATGAAGACATCATGTTGACAGTGAGAAGAGATAAGAGGACCATTTGCAGTTCACAAGGTCAGCATTCTGGGAAACCTTAAAACTTATATTGCAGGACCTGAAACCCCAAAAAGAAAGGAATTAGAAGAAAACCAGAAAACCGAAACTAACCTTTTAGCTGGAAACTCTGAGCAGATAGAATTCCTGCTCATCTCTGCTGTTTATTTAGTCAGCAAATTAGCTAATAGGCCTTGGTGAAAGGATTTAGGTTAAAGAGAGTTCTTGCAGGGACAAAGAAATAATCAAAATATGTCTGCAAGCATACAGAAATAAAATACCAAGTGTAAGGTATACCTGTACCTTCAGTATTATTAATGACTTGTGGAGCTGGTAAAAGGCAAAACATAGTAGACATCATGGACTGGTCTGAATGAATTTCACAAGACAAATGAAGAGTAG